AAGTTTGTAGCATGAATTCTAATCTGTATTAATAATAATAGAGTCAGATATTAGGAAGGGGGGAAGCTGAAAGATCAGAGAAGCAAAACAGCCAGCCACTAGTTCTTACCTGTACTGAATCCTCAGACCAAATGGGCGATCCTGTCTCTAGGAATCCTCAGACTGAATTCATCCTCATACTGACTGCCTAGACTGCATCTCTCTCTTATCTCCTCCTGCCTTATATTCCTTTCTCCACCCACAGCTGTATCACTCTTGTCTCCACCTCCCTAGTGCTGGGATTAAAGGCATGTGACTCCAAGTGCTGGCAGCACCTTTGTGTGAGCTCTGTTTCTCTTTTAGACAGATCCAATCTCATGTAGCTCAGGGTGGCCTTGAACTCACAGAGATCCATCTGTCTCTGCCTCCTGGGTGCTGGGATTAAAGGTGTGTGCCACCACCACCTGGCCTCTATGGCTAACTAGTGTGGTTAGCTCTGTGCTCTGATCCTCAGGTATTTATTAGATCATAAAATATCACCACAAAGATTTTTGAATGTGAAAAAAGATCATTGTTTGAAAGTATAAGAAAATAAGGAACTAACTGATTAAACAGCTATTAAAATCAGTGCCCAGGGTGGAAAGTTGTTCCCCATATAACCAATAAATGTAATTGTCATAATTTTCCATCCAGTAGCAATGAGAATATAGAAAAATATACATTTCAAAGTGATTTTTAAAGGAACTGGAGCAAGGGACACATAGTGACAAGCACAGACTGCACTTCAAAGGTTCAGCTCACAAATGTCTGTATTTCCAGTACCAGGGGATACAACACCCACTTCTGGCATCTGAGGGAGAGCAACCAAGCATGCACAAGATTCACATACATGGGGGCACTCACACACACACGCACACAGACATACACTCACACACATACACACACTCACACATACACACACAGAGACACACACACTCACACACACATACACACTACACACACATACTCACACACACATACACACACAGAGACACACACAGAGACACACTCACACATACACACATACACACACAGAGACACACTCACAACACACACATACTCACACACACATATACACACTCACAAACATACACACAGAGACACACACAACACATACACAGAGACAAACTCACACATACACACACACACACACTTGATAATGACTTATCAAGAACAGGGTTAATTCCAAACAACAAAAACAAGGGGGCAGGGGTTGCTATAGTAATATTATCAGTTATCTGCTGCGCTCTAAATTCTACCTGTTCTTTCATTAGCTGTAAAATATAAAACTAGAACCTTTCATAGACTCGTGATCCCCAGAATCTGAAGACCACGTGAGTACTAAAAGAAGCCTAGGTTTCTAGGCAGGCATGTTTTTTATAAGTTAAGTTTCTGTGCAAAAGGAAAAGATTAATTTCTTTGAGTCTTAAAAAGAAGGAGAAGATAGTCTCCTTCCAACACACTAGATTTACCCATTCAATGCTTTCTGTGGGAAGGCCTTGGCATCCTCACACTGTGCTATCAGAAGACACTATTCTAATTTACCAAACTCCAAAGCCCGGAAACGGGCTGACTGGAGAGCAGGGGGCTGATAAACATTTGTGAAATAAGTAAACTAGATCCAAGAGTGGAAGAGTAAGGGAGACCCTGAGCAAATGCTAGTCTGTAACAGCAAACGCAGGCTGAGATACAGAAAGACCCGGCTGAATTTTAAGGTGATTTAAAATAGGGTCCATTTGACCCTAACAGTTAATATAAGGTTAAACCTTTAATACAAGATCCACAAGAAACAAAATCTGCTAACAGAACTACAAAGACAGAAGACCTTTAATACAAAAAATACTGTTTGGCTGATTTACAAGCATGTTGATTCTTAAATATTTTGTCAGGGTGTTTACAGACATAATTGCCTAAACACACCACAGACACTTGTACTTACACGGCTAAGACGCTGAACTACTGCCACACAGATTAAACACCCTGATCCAGAAATTCAACCCCAAATGTTCCAAAACCCAAAACTTTCTCAGCACAGATATAACTCCACAAGAGGAAAATTTCACGATGATCTTATGTAACTAGCCAAAGTGAAAATGTAGGTACCCTTCGAACATTGTACAGGACTACCTTTATGGTATCAGGTATATGTGACACCCAAATCATGTTTAGACTCTCCAAGACATCATTATGTAAGCAGATATTCCAAGGTATGAAACCCAGAGCCCTGTTACCCCAAACATTTTTGCTGAGGGAACTCAACCTGTATTGAAACATACATGTCTGGAGAATGCACAGCTATGTAAAAGGAACAAGGGATAATGAGCTCTTACCATCTAGAACTTGGAAGGTGTTAGTGAAAGATAATGATGATGACACTGAATTCATCACCCACTACCCAAGAATGAGTTCATTTATGCAGTTTTACACAAGGAACAAATAGGGGGTGGTTACAAAAAGGATTCACAAAGGAATCCCTTTGGATTGCCAGTTCTCCTAAATAACCTGAAATATTATTCAAACAACATAAAAATTTTACAGACACACATCGTAAGGAAAGCAAACTAGAAGAAAAAAGAGACCCTACAAGTCACCATAAGTTCTAGATGTACATTTAACTGTCAGACCCTGGCCTCAAGGCCACCCAGCTTTTAACCAGTTGAAATTAAACCCATTCCTCCACAGGAAACTCAGAAAGCAACTTAGTTATTTTGCTAGATAAGGTTCCAACGTTTTTTCTTTTTTAATTTTTTATTACTTTTAATTACTCATATTTACATATGCATCCCCCCATCCCCTCACCTTCCTTTCCTCCCATGTTCCCCACCCACCCACCCCCACACCTCTCCAGGGATAATGAGTTCCATTGTCAAGGACCTTCAAAGTCATATCGTTTGGGGGAGGGTCTAGACTCTCCTTGCTGTATCTGGGCTGCAATAGTATCCCTCCATAGGGAATGGGCTCCCAAAGTCCGTTGTGCTCTAGGGATAAAGACTGACTCCCCTGTCAGAGGAGCCATAGACTCTCTTGGGCTCCTAGCTGGTACCCACATTCTGCTACCCACGTTTTTCATTTCCAAAATATATGCTACATACAGTACAAACAGGTTTAGGTGCCTGCAGGACATCAGTAAGTATACTATGCTCCCCCTACTGGCCAATGTTAAAAATAACAATGAATTTCCCTGGAGACTGGCCTTTGAAGGGGTGGGGTTGGAAACTCAGTTAATGACTTTGTTTTTTTTTTTGTTTTTTTGTTTTTTAATGTATGTATCTTACCCGACAGTTAAGCAAAGCTGGTGTGGGGTGGTCATATTCCGTCACAATAGGAACTTTTAAAGTTGACAACAATGTCAAGAGTAAGAAGTATGCTGAACCCTTGAAACGCTAAACAATGCAGAATTCAAGCCAAAAGCAGAGAACATCAAGAAACAGAGCAACATCCTCTAGCTGACACAATGGCATGAAATCAGGTACTCTTTAATAGCCCTTCAGGGGGTAAGAATTATTTCCCTACCTCCTGCGCCAACCTCAAGCTGTTTCCTAAGGAAGCCTAGTGGCCTTGATCAACAGTGTCTGGTGGATTAATAAAAGTAATGAACACTAAAGATTAACATAAGTCAGAGTTCTATTTATAATAATTTGGAGCTAGGCTCAGGGAAGCTGGACTTTGGCCCCTGCAAAGTATGTGTATGGTCACCTAAATTAATCACAGATAATTAGTGTTTCAAAAGATGCATTCAACTCAAACAGGAAGCTGGGCAAGACAGAGGGCCAAGGACTTACTGCCCATGGATCTTACCATACTTGCCATTTTCTGCCATGACCAGGGCAGCTCTTGGGTTAAAACTAACAGAAAGCCATATATGATGACCTAGGGCAAGTGACTTGGCCTCTAGCTGCTGGAGTCTAGTATGCGATCTGTAAAATGGGTCCACTAAAATCGCAAAATTTTCATCAGAGTTGGGGTGGTACTTAAGTCCGACTGCTGCTGTGAAGACATTATCTGACACTCCGTAGGAGACCAATACACTTCCATTCTATTACCCCCAAAGAACCGACTGGGTTCTCTAAAGGATCATTCCGGGGATATTAAAGGACCCGATGTGGTTTTCTTGTTATTTTGGGAACTTCTCCCCAAGCCTTTCAGTTCTGCGAAAGAAGAAGAAACTTTTAAAACGTCTGGTTCCCCATCTCAATCTGTCACTCGCAAGATCCCTCACCGCAGGGCGCAGCACGCGGCGCTAACACCTGTGCACCGCGCCGCGCTGCGCGGTCCTCGTCTGGAACATCTGTGCACTCCTCCAACCTCAAAGCTACCTTGCGGGACCCGGTCCTGGCAGCTCACACAGCTCACAGCCAGCGAACGGGGCGACCTCAGCCACCAGGTTCTACTCTGCCAAAGTAATTCGGCTTGGCACGCCGCTGTCTGCACTTCTATCCGAGTGCCGGAAAATGGGACAAATGTCCTAATAAGCGCAACTCTGCAAGTGGGTTCTTCTAGCAACATCCAAGAGTCCCAGGTTTCCCAACCAAGTTCACACCCGAGAGAGCCTCTAACATCAGCGGGAGCACGGCTGGGTTAACCCGGGCGGGCGTCCTCCGCGGCGTTTTTGGGACTGCCTCCCCGCACCAGGCCGCGGCCGCCGGGGACCCGGGACTGGCTCCTGCCCCAGGGGCCCGCCGCCGCGGGCCCCGCCACCCCCCCCCCGCGCGGGCCCCCCCCCGCGGCC